AGTCCTTGTTGTTGAGCTGAAACGTTAACTTGACAAACAGCGTTACCTGTGAGTGTATTTTCTCCTTCTGGGTTCTGCTGTGTGTGAGCTCCTCTCTGAGACGATGCAGTTCTGCCTCTGCCTTTGACAACTCTTCACGTGTTTCTTCCAACTCGTGACTCTGTCTGTCAAACAAAGGTTTTGCAACTTTAGATTTCATCATAGCTTCAGTTTCAGCCCTGACAGTGAGTAGCTCCATCCATTCCACCATCAAACAAAGAAAATAAAAAGTTGACTACACAACAACACAATCCTGTATCCTACCTGCTGAGGATGCCGTCTCTGTCTCTGATCTCGTCCTCATGTCTCTCCGTCCTCTCCTTCAGAGACTTCAGCTGCATCTTCAACCTCTCGGCCTCCACCTTGTGTTTCTCTGTCTCCAGACTCGACTCTGAATCCCACTTTGTCCACTGATGTGCAGGTCTGCGGTCAAAAGAAGAGGCTTGTTTATGGGAGGTTGTCATTATAGGAGTGAAATGGCAGTTTTTGTTTCATGTAGACTACGACCTTGGCTCTAGTGAGTGTTCCACAGGAATCCTTCCTCTGATCATGCTTTCATGTAACATCATAATGCGTTGGTTTTCCTTCTTCAGTTCCAGGATTTCCTGTTGAGCCTGAGCGATGGCCAGCCATGGATGGACAGGACTTGGATCAGCTGATGGAACTGGAGTTACTCCTGGGTTTATAAGGGATATGGAAGGCATTGTCCCTGTGCTGTGAAGACCTCGGTTTAGTTTAGGAGAATGTTTACTGGATGCAAAATGAGAAGGTGGTACGAGGTCCTCCTGGAGATGCCCTACAGTACAAAACATGAAATGTTGTTACATGTGCTTTGTGTGCAGGAGTAGGCCTCTCAGTATGACAAAATATACAATACAAAAAATAATTACATGATGAAACAACCACGGTTTTTAAATATACAAGTACATTTCACTAAATTTACGTTAAAACTAGGATAAATAGAATTTAACCTACTGTTTTAACCGTCATTTGTGAAACATTCTAAAATTCTAAAATCTGTCAGCTAATGTCGGCTAATAACTCACAGATGAAAGAAATATTAACAACAACTTACGTGAAATCGGCGGTGAAGTGAAATCAGTCGGTACAATCAGCCGTTCTTTATTAATACGTCGCTCCATTCGCCACGGAAGAACTCAGACCGTTGTGAAAGAGTTGGTAATTGTTCGGTTAATCAGTAGTTAGACTTGTGTTTTAATTCGAACGTCGTTTGCTTCTCCCGCTGCTAGCTCAATCAGTCGTTACCTTAGTTACAGCTGCCGGAACTCGTTTGTTTAATTTAATGAGTATTTGACTAAAAATGAACGAAAATAGCCCAAATACACATAACTGTAACTTTTAAATCCCATAAATTAGTTTAATTAAGTTTAATTAACTCCGCAGTAAATAAAGTTGTGTTTTTAGCTTAACTGTCAAACATCAATGTCGCCCAATGCATCATGGGAAATAGAAAGTGCAGTCTGACTTTTCTACCTAAGTTTTGTCTTGCAGGTTTGTCAGCGGAATCCTGCGTGAAGTACATTTTATT